CACACACACACACACACACACACACACACACACACACACACACATACACACACACACACACACACACACACCCACACACATCAGCTTGGCACCATTTTTGTTTGGGTTCCCCCTCTCACTTCTCTCCTGTTCTCACCTCTCACACTCACCCCCCCCCTTTCCCCACATCACCCGGTGACATGAGAGTGTGTTGTGACACGTTTCATGCCACCGGGAGATATGGTGACTACTTGTAACACAACACACCACTGTGCGTTGTGTTACAAGTGTGTGCTTACAGAGGTTTACAACTGTGTTGTTGTGTTTACTTCTCTCGTAGTTTTATACAAAGGGGGGAAGAGGAGGGAAGTGTCAGGGGAAAGCATCAAGCTATTACGACTATATAGCACTAGGAAGGGGGTCAGGATAAGGATATGGGATGGGACAGGGGGAAAGGAATGGTGTTAATGTAAGTTAACCTACAAGTAGGGAAGTAGGGTAAGCCTTAGCTTACTAGATTTTTGCTGAACATGACTTGTTAATCAGTTTAACTCCCACGTGCCCCTTATTACTGTTGGGTAAACAGGGACAAGCAGATGTAGACTGGTTCCCAGTCAGTCCTCGCGGAGTTTTGTTACGGGAGGGGGGAGGGGGTAGTGTACTCACTTAGTTGTACTCACCTAGTTGTGCTTGTGGGGATTGAGCTTCGGCTCTTTGGTCCCGCCTCCCGCCTGTGTGTGTGTGTGTGTGTGTGTGTGTGTGTGTGTATCTAATTACTTGGCCAAATATTGACCATCCCCAGCATGCATCCCCCAGCGACTATGCAACTCTCATATAGCTATTTACTACGAGGTGAATACAGGCATGAGGTGAAAGGAAACGCTACCAATTTATTTTTGGCTCCAGCAGAGATTCGAACCCAGGGCTTGCGACTGAGAATCGAAGTTCTTCACTACTTTACCACAACATCTCTCTCTCTCTCTCTCTCTCTCTCTCTCTCTCTCTCTCTCTCTCTCTCTCTCTCTCTCTCTCTCTCTCTCTCTCTCTCTCTCTCTCTCTCTCTCTCTCTCTCTCTCTCCTAAAACCTCAGGGGTTTCCTCTCAAGGACTCAGGATAATAGCTCACGGCTGACTGGCGCGCCACATTCACGACAGCGTGACCTAACGGGAGAAAACAGAACTACAAAGATGAGACAAAAACAGAGAGAAATCAGGAGAGAGGCACTCCACCCCTGGGTACACCAGGGGGGTAGAGAAGCACAATATACACCAGGGGGAGGTGGAGGATGAGACGCACACAACACAGGGGTACGGAGCAGTGTTTGTGATCCTGTATGACGTGGTCAGTTCACCCTTCAGTCAAGCGGTAATGGTCGGGAGAGAGAGAGGCACTCGCGCTGATGAGAGTATAGCCTCACTGACAACTGTCCCTTGGGTGCCTGACACTGGCACTCACCCCATTGCCACCTGGCACTCTCTAATCTATTTATGCTGATGAGTATAAGTGCCATTACCTCCCTGCTCCTGTGTGTGTGCATGAAACCCCTTACATATGTATGAAACCCCTTACATATGTATGAAACCCCTTACATATGTATGAAACCCCTTACATATGTATGTTAAAAGGTGTTCACATATACACTAACATGCACACATGAGTTAACAAGCACGTTCATAAAAAATGGTTAAAAAAGCCACCAAGCACCACCACGCATCACCAGGCACCATCACCCATCACCAGGCACCATCACCCATCACCAGGCACCACCACCCTTCACCAGGCACCATCACCCATCACAGGCTCCACCACACATCACCAGGCACCACCACCCATCACCAGGCACCATCACCCATCACCAGGCACCATCACCCATCACCAGGCACCATCACCCATCACCAGGCACCACCACCCATCACCAAGCACCACCACCCATCACCAGGCACCACCACCCATCACCAGGCACAACCACCCATCACCAGGCACCATCACCCATCATCAACCACCACCACCCATCACCAGGCACCACCACCCATCACCAACCATCACCAGGCACCACCACCCATCATCAACCACCACCACCCATCACCAGGCACCACCACCCATCACCAACCATCACCAGGCACCACCAGCAAGCACACAGCAGTAACCCAACACAGGATATTTAATCCCACCAGCCTCACCCCCCCCCCTCCTCCTGACCACCCACACTCACTCCTTCACCCCCCTCATTCCTCCTCATGCCTCACACCCCCGCCCCCCCCCCCCTTCCTCCGTAGTGGTCTCACCACACAAACGCACACACCAGTATGTGCTGCGGCCTAATATAGTACATATATGTGCTGTACTCCAGGTATATACTATAGGCCTAGGAATATTTAATTTCTGGTACTAGGTTTATTTTTGTGCGGACTCTTATATATATATATATATATATATATATATATATATATATATATATATATATATATATATATATATATATATATATATATATATACACATATATGCAGGCGATGAGTCACAATAACGTGGCTGAAGTATGTTGACCAGACCACAGACTAGAAGTTGAAGGGACGACGACGTTTCGGTCCGTCCTGGACCATTCTCAAGTCTACTCAATCGACTTGAGAATGGTCCAGGACGGACCGAAACGTCGTCGTCCCTTCAACTTCTAGTGTGTGGTCTGGTCAACATATATACATATAACAATGTCAGAGACCACGAAGGAAGAATTAAGACAGGAACCACCTTAAATACTTTCGTATTTAATACATCTTCTGAAGGATCAGATTTAAGGAAATAGCAATCGCCGAAGCTTCAGTATTGACAGCAATTTCGAGAGACAGAGCTGCTAGACTGTTCCTTGCTCTCAGAGTGTATACACTCACCGAGTGGGCGGGGGGGGGGGCTTCAGGTGTGCTGGTACTCAGCTCCCACTAATACACACACACACGCCCTCAGCATGCACTCCCCACTACTGGCTTTCTCAGCGCAAGGGGAGATGGGACTTGCTCAGGAGAGCAGTGTGGGAGAATACGACTTATTAGTGTTTCAGTATAGTCTTATCAGATGGACTCTGGTACATTGGAATAGTTCTGAGCTCGTGCAGTATGTACCTTTTTGGGGACGGTGGAAGAGAGAGAGAGAGAGAGAGAGAGAGAGAGAGAGAGAGAGAGAGAGAGAGAGAGAGAGAGAGAGAGAGAGAGAGAGAGAGAGAGAGAGAGAGAGAGAGAGAGAGAGAGAGAGAGAGAGATCAGCTCTAGTTTTAATCCGGTCTGGTTGGATATATCAACACCTGAGACCATTCAACACTGGAGAGATGTCAGCAACCTTACTAGTGTGAATAATGCCTAACTTCATAAACTACTAAATAGTGGAAACGACAACGCAAGGCGCTCAGCCATCAACAGCCGTGCCACTGTCAAGAACTTCACTCCATTAGCGATCATGCATTCCAAAGCTGCCTCACATCTCTACCATGTTTGCTAAACACACACACAATTACGTGAAATTGTCAACCAAATATATAAAAGTTTTGGTACACAATTGGCTCCTTGTTCATCCTGGAGTTATCATAGCAGTAGTAACTCTCTCTCTCTCTCTCTCTCTCTCTCTCTCTCTCTCTCTCTCTCTCTCTCTCTCTCTCTCTCTCTCTCTCTCTCCCTTCTCCCTTACTCTCCCCAGCCAGGTATTTGCATAATCAACCAAGTGTGTTCCATCTGAATCAATAATAACTATAAAATATTGCTTTCTATTTTTAACGAATGGATTTTTTTTTTGTCCTGGTTATGTTTGGTCATTAATTTTAACGTGCTTATTCTGTGTATAATGTTATTTGCTCGGAACTGTTATGTTATTAATGGCCGTATTCCTCTATGCAGGCGCTCTTGTTCGGAGCCCTTGTGTGGTCTCTACGCAAGGTCGAAATTGAATATATTTCACACTATAAAGTTGTTGTTTTTAATAATAATTAAAGGAATATCGCACGTATATCATTATATAATTACGGACTGTTTTTTTGTAGGGTCTTTATTCGCTATTATGTCTCTGGGAGGACGTGGTGACCTTACCGTCGGTCACTGTGTCACTATTTATGTCAGTCTTGGAGGCTGTGTCACTCTTCGTGTCAGTCTTGGAGGCTGTGTCAGTCTTGGAGGCTGTGTCACTCTTCGTGTCAGTCTTGGAGGCTGTGTCACTCTTCGTGTCAGTCTTGGAGGCTGTGTCAGTCTTGGAGACTGTGTCATTCTTCGTGTCAGTCTTGGAGACTGTGTCACTCTTCATGTCAGTTTTGGAGACTGTCACTCTTTATGGCAGTCACGGAGACTGTGTCACTCTTCGTGTCAGTCTTGGAGACTGTGTCACCCTTCGTGTCAGTCTTGGAGACTGTGTCACCCTTCGTGTCAGTCTTGGAGACTGTGTCACCCTTCGTGTCAGTCTTTGAGACTGTGTCACCCTTCGTGTCAGTCTTGGAGACTGTGTCACCCTTCGTGTCAGTCTTGGAGACTGTGTCACCCTTCAACATGTCTCTTAGGGTGAATGGCGACGCCTACACGCAAGAAGGACTTTTCAGTCCTCAAAATCTCAACTAAGTCTTAAAAACTGTTTAGTCTGATTCGCAAATTTAGCCGCTCCCAGGATTAGGAATGGTCAATGGACTGACAGACGCTGCCGCTAATCAGAGTGAATATACCGTTATCCAATCCCATTTCAGGAGCTTAAACGCTACTAATCATTCACCTCACAGTGTTAACGTTCTATCGGAAAGTTATCTCTCACATCCGAAACGCTATCATCAATCGATGTTTTTATGAAGCTAAAATTAAAATTCTTTGTCCAATCAGTCACCTTTAAAAAACTAAAATTTGGTAAACTTATTCAGTGTCTCGTTAATTATGAAACTTTTTTAATCATCGCACAAAGGTAAAATAGCAAGACCCAATCGCCTCACATCGCTAAACTGCCGTCAGCAAACGTCCCGAAGGTATAAAATGCCTTGAGCCAATCGCCTCTCCTGGGCGAAGATGCCATCAGCCAATCACCTATCATGGGCGAAGGTGCCATCAGCCAATCACCTCTCCTGGGACGAAGGTGCCATCAGCCAATCCCCCGCCGTGGACGAATGCAAATGCCCAAGAAGGTATGGCTGTTATCTTCCTCTCTTATACTACACATCTCTCTTATTTCGAGTGGGAGAGGCAGTCTCACCGCTGTCGTATGACCCGACCTTCTCTAAACGATTCTACGAGTCATTAACCTCGTGAGGGCAAGCACGCACTTACCCATCACCCCGACGACGTTATAGACGTTGAACTAATGCATACACACACACACACACACACACACACACACACACACACACACACACACACACACACACACACACACACACACACACACACACACACACACACACACACACACACACACACACACACACACACACACACCACACACACATTGGGGGGAGGAGGGGAAGGAGGGGAAGGGAACTATCAGGAGAAAGCGCCAAGCCATTACGCCTATATAACACTGGAAAAGGGGTCAGGATAAGGATTTGGGATGGGACGGAGGGAAGGAATGGTGCCCAACCACTTGGACAACTTCCTCTTCCATGTACTTCACAAGTCTCTAATTGATTATTTGTTTTCGAATATTTTGCCTGGTACTTCGAGGAGGGAAAATGATCTGTAATTTTTAGTTTGGATTGGGGGGGGGGGTTTACCTGGCTTGGGGATTAATCTGATTGTGGCATTCTTGAAGTATGTGGGGAATAGTCCAGATGTAAGAGCTGCATTTACTATACATGTGTATTGATGGAGTGCAGTCACTGGTAAGCTGTGGTTAATACTATCTTATTTATCCTGCTATTGCCTGGCGCTTTGTTCTTGAAACCTGTAATTGTTTTTATGGACCTCTGCAATGGTTGTGTGATTCATAAGGTGGCCGTCATTGCGAATGTTGTTAAGGTCTATTGTTTGTGTCGGGAGTAGTGTTGCAGCTCTGTTATCGACTTAGAGTTGTAATTTTCCTTTCATTAATGGGGCAAAAGTTTACATTTTCAGGTTTATCCTGAATAATTTTTTTTCCCAGAACTACCTGAATTCCTGTTCTTGTTCTCTCTCCTCGTAGGGTTTATTTCCTTAGACGTCTATAATGTAGGGTGTTTCCTCAGCTGAATTTCTCATCAGTGTTTTTACTTTTTTTTCCGGAACTTTCCTGGGTTTCTGTAGTCGACTTGGATTTTGCTTATTAGGTCATCCCATTTTTGTTGGTGTACTCTGTTTTGCATAGATCTTGCAGCTCATCTTGTAGTTCCTTTTGTAGTCTTTTGTGCTCGTCCGTCCACCCACTGTGTAATGAGTTGTAGAAGGTTGTTATTTCTGGTTTGCAGTGTTCTGAGGGCCTCAGTGGCTGACAGGGGGGGGGGGGTGGAAGCGTTATATGGTGAGCTACGGGAATATGATCGTTCATGCATTTTTTCTATGGTGCTAATCCATATATTTAGCTCTGTGTTTATACATGGTTCCTTACAGCAATTGCTGCTCCATCGTTGGCCTGGTCAACTCTATTGACCTGGTAAGTTTTGTAATTGAAGATCTTTATCCTCTCACTTTTCTTTTCCGCCATGACACCCTTACTCACGCCTCGAGGAGGCGAATGTATAGGCACCTGTGCGCCTCCCCCATACAAGAACCTCCGCCTAGCTCCACCTCATCTTCCACCCAACCGAAGAAAAGCAAAACTTTACAAAGTTCACCGCAGTGATCCCTCATCAGCTTT